ACCAAGATACTCAGTGAACTTCTAGGACCTGTGAATCTGTGCTTTCTTTTCACTGAAATATTGCAGATGTAAGAGGTGAAATATTCCTGTTGCAGGGCTGGTGCAGTTTGATGATGTTCTCTCCACCAAGGAGAAGAGAAACAAATGGGAAGAAATTGTTGCAAACACAATTATTGTTCCTGAACTGAAGGTGAGAAATCTGCTGTACAGAGTCAGGAGCTGAGCAGTTCAAAACCCACTGGAGGTCTGATGTGCTGTAAATTCTGTGCTACACTTTTCACCTGGCTATTCCTCAAGCCAGCCCATCCATGGCACAGCTGCAGATTAAGGATCAGCCACCTTTATTCTACCTGGGGACCTGGGAGTCTGAGACTGGAGTTGTTCTGGGATGAATTTGTATAGCTGGAAAAGCAGAAATGGCTTAGCTCTGTGGAAGGTGTTTCACAATATCCAATCATTTATTATTTTCTTAATGCAGGATTTGGATAAAAAGCTGCTGAAGTTAAACCGACAAATACAAGAGGATGAGAGAATCTCTTCCAACCCCATAGTGAAAATCGTGTATGGGGACCCAGCTGCATTCCTGTCCCAGCTGCCAGGGGACAGCCACATCCACCACTCCAGGATGTGGAGCTGCCGCAGGAGGGTCTCAGTGGAGAACCTGGGCCACGTTGTGCAGCAGAAGAATGCCAAGGACACCGTCCCTCTCCTCTGCAAGTTCCTGCAGAAGGTGGGGCTGGCACAGGGATCAGAGCCTGGGATTGCCCAGGGCTGAACCACATTGGGATCTTCTTTATTCTCAGTACTTGCTATGATCTTGAGAATGAGCATGGAAGATATTGTTGTCTTTTAAGCATTTGAGAAGTAATTCCATAAAAGTGTTCCCAGCTGTTTAAGCACAGCCTTACCCACAGGCTCCCTTTCCTCTTCCAGGAAGCTGAGCTGAGGCTGGTGAAATTCCTACCAGAGATTCTGGCTCTGCAGAGAGATTTGGTGAGGCAGTTCCAGAACACCACAGAGATCAAACACTGCTCCATCAGGGAATTCCTCAGGGAACCCCACTCAGGTGAGGAGACTCTGCCAAAATTGTAATTAATGAAACAGAAAGTGCTGGACTGTCCAGTTGAAAGTGGAGGGGAAAATTCACCTTTTCCTTTTAACTCTCACCCAAATTAACTGGAGACCTGGATAGGGTTGGAAAAGTTACCAGATGACTTGAAGGGAATTAAGCACAGAAGATTTTTTTATGAGGGGTGGGAGTGCAGTGCAGCAGTGCTTCTGTTGGCATTTTAAGCTCAGCCTTAGAGCAGGGCTTGCCTGAAGAATGGAATAAACGTCCCTCCCTTCCTTTCATGAAGTTTGTGGCAACTCCTTCAATTGCATTTAAGTACAATTACTGATGTTTTTAAGTACTTATGGAAAAGTACATAAAGGCCATGCAGACCAAGGTGGCCAAGACCATCTTTGTGGCCTGGGCCAGGAGCAGACAATAATGGAAAAACAACAAACTGAGCAAGTGATACCTTCAGAAAGGTGTTTGGTGTCTGTTTAGTCTCTTGAGCAGCTGCCTGGAGTTCAGTGCTGTGCTCTGAAGATCCCTTTGTTGGAGAGTTTGACCAGGAAAAGGTGTTTCATGGATTTATCTTTCTGTTGTTTCTCAGATGTGATGAGGGACCTGTTAGAGAGGAGAGTGAATGTGTTTCTGTCTGTCTGGAACAAGCTGAGAAGCTCCCTGGACACCAATGGTGAGCAGTTTCTTTCCCAGCCCTGCTCCTCAAGGTTCCTCCCATCAGTTCCCATATCCTCAGAACTGAGCTTGGCCATTGAATTTTAAGAATCTAGGTACAAGGGGAAGAATTTGTTTCCCTGTTGTAGCGTTCTCACCTGAACTTGTTTCCTTTTTCACCAGACCTTGTTCCCTTGTCCTCAGGCTCGGTAACTCCTGCCCTGGGCCGGCTCTGGGCCTCCTCAAACAGCCCTGTCTGTATTTCAGGGGAAATTAAGCTGCCTAAAGGCTACTGTGACGCAGAGCTGAGCCTGGACAGCAGGCTGGAGGTGCTGCTGCCGCGGCGCCAGGGGCTGGGGCTGTGCTCCACGGCCCTGGCCAGTTACCTCATCGGGCTGCACAACGACTTCGTGCACTCCGTCAACAGGCACATCAAGGAGGATGACAGGTGTGCTGCTCTTCTGCTCCTGGGGCTCTGCTGCATCTCCTGCTCCCTCCCTGTCAGCTCTCCCCGCTCCACAGAGGCCCTGTGCTCCCTGCAGGTACCTGATCAGCCCCTCGGAAGTGGCCGACCTGCACCTGATCAGTTACGAGGTGGAGAAGGACCTGATCCCTCTGATCCTGTCCAACTGCCAGTACAGCATGGAGAAGGGAGGGGAGACCTTGCAGGACTTCGATCTGGAGAGGATCCAGCAGCAAGTGGTCAGCAAGTTCCTGCAGGGGAAGCCGCTCATCACGCTGACGGTAGGAGGGGCAGGGGCTGTGCAGTCAGGAGGGCTCTGGGAGCAGCATTCCAGAGCTTCACATCCCTGGCTTTCTCTCCTGCCAGGGAATCCCCACCCTGGTGTACAGACATGACCGGAACTACGAGCAGCTGTTCAGTGATGTCAGGAATAAGCTGGAGCAGGTGGGTTTCTGCACTGCAGGAAGCAGGGCAAGCGTGAAATCCCTGCTTTTCCAAGGGTTTGCTGTCCATCCAAAGGCTCACCTGCTGATTTCTCAGCATGCCTTGGGTACATGCAATCTGGCCTTGTGCTGTCAGTCAGGATTTGCAAAGAAAAGGGAGATAGTTCAGCATTTCAGTTTCCTAAATCTGGGCCTCTCTTGTCTTTCTTCCGTGACTTGAGCGATTTGAACAGAAAAATGAATGGCTCTAAAATAATGTTAACTGTGACTTTGTGGTTTTCAGAGTGCTCTGCCCAGTTCTGTGATGAACATGATCAGTGGGGAGCTGCAGTCCTACAGTGATGTGTGTGATGCTCTGTCCCTCACCGAGATCACCCTGGGCTTCCTGGCCATGGCTGGTGAGAGCGCTGAGATGCTGCTGACTGAATACATCGAGCAAGTTCTGCAGATGGGGGATCAGACAAACCCTCACGTGCTGCAGGTCAGTCCTGAGGGCACAGCTCAGATTCTTACAGGATAAAGTCTGCCCTGCTTTGTGCTAAGCCCAGCCTGTGTGGCAGAGCCCTCTCACTTTCCCACTGCCTGTGGTGATGTCAGAACCTGGATTACTGAGGGCAGATGGGCTCCACCCAGGCAAAGGGGCTGGATGAGCTCCGTGCTGAGCTCTCTCTGGGCAGGGCAGGCTGGGGATGGGCTCCAAGGACATCCCTCACATCCACAGCTGTCCTCTTCCAGGCCCTCAGACGGTGCCAGCTCAGACACAGCATAGCCCTGTGGCAGCTCCTGTGTGCCCACAAATCGGAGCAGCTGCTGCGCCTCGGCAGGGTATGGAACCCCAGCACCTCTGCTCTGCCCTGCTCTGCCCTGCCCTGCCCTGCCCTGCCCTGCCCTGCTCTGCTCTGCCCTGCCCTGCCCTGCCCTTCCCGCAGCTGCTCAAATGTGTTATTGGGTTCCTTCTCCCCTCGCTGCATTTTTAGGATCCTTTTGCAGATGTCAGTGCAGACTACAAAGAAGAGCTCACCCCAGAGCTTGCCAAGCTCCTGCACACCTTCCTGGTCCACTCCAGGCTGGAAACCTTCCTGCAGGAGCTCCATGAAATGATCATCCTGAAGCTGAGGCGTGTCCAAGCCGTGGAGGAGTTCAGACCCAAGTGGAGGTAGGAGTTACACACCCAAAGTCACCACAGTTGTTAACTGAAGTTTCTCTGCCTCTGAGCGTGCACACAGTGGGAACTTTGGCTCCTTTGGCTCGTGCCTGTCCTGAGGGCCACGGCCCAGCCTGCAGCATCAGGAATATCCACACTCATTTCTGGCAGATGTCACTTCCACCTCACACAGGCACTCTTGGGGACACTGCTGGAACACACCAGGAGCTGTTTCCAGGGCACAAACACAACCACTTCTGCAGGCACTTGAATAAAATAATAAAACAGAATCACAAAATCATTAAGGTTGGATAAATCCTCCCTGATCATCAAGCCCAGCCTTCAGGGCTGGACACACTCAGCTCTGCAGAGGCACAGCTCATCCCCAGAGCTGTGCCTGTGCCTCCAGCTGGCTGTTTGAACCCTGCTCACTGCACTTACACCTGTTCAGTTGTGGATATCGACTTTGGGTGCTGCGGCGCACTCCTGTTGTGGCACTTGTGCTTTGCTGGGGCCCAGCTGTTAATGCTGTTCTGCTCTCTTCCAGCCTGAAGGAATCGCTCTTGCCCTACCTTTATGCCAAAGACTCAGAATTAGCTCTGGAGCTGGAAGACACATTCCCAGATGGGATTCTTCTGTCTCATGCCACTGGGACCTGGAAAGCAGCTGCTCTCTTCAAGCGGGAGCACAGGGAGAGTTAGGGCAGGACCCTGCCAGGGAATGCCACAACGGCTTCCAGAACTCTGGGCATTTTGTTTGGGGCTTGTTGCTTGTTCTTTGGGTTTGGGGTTGTTGTTTTGACACCTGTTGTGAAGAGGAGAGGGGGCCGTGGAGCAGGACAGTGAAACAGGCCCAACAACTCCGTGTGAACCCTGGATCCTCACAGCCCCAGAGCCACTGGAGGAACATGAAGGACTTTTTTTACAAACCGTGGTGCTGGGGCAGGGCTGTTTCGGGCAGCCTTTCTGTGGGCACGGGGCTGGCAGCACCGCCTCCGGCCCGGCACCTCCCGCTCGGCGGCACCGGGAGCAGCGAGCCCTGGCGGCCGGGGCTCCTTCCCTGCCTTAATCCCGCTCCTTTCTCCCCCTCCCCTTCCCAATAAACTCGTTCAGCTCCCGCTCGCTCCCGGCTCCTTCCGCGCCCTCAGCCGGGACCGCAGCGCCGGCCCGGAACGGCCAAGCCCGGCCGCGCGTTCCGGGGGACGGCGGCGCTGAGGGACGGGCGGGCCCGGTGCCACCATGGCCGCGTCCCCCGGGCAGCGCCGCCGCTGGGAACGGTACCGGGGCTGGGAGCGGTACCGGGGCTGGGCTGGGAGCGGTACCGGGGCTGGGAGCGGTACCGAGGCTGGGAGCGGTACCGGGGCTGGGAGCGGTACCGGGGCTCGGGGCTGGGCCAGGTCGCGCTCGGGGCTGGGAGCGGTACCAGGGCTGGGCCAGGCCGCGCTCGGGGGTCCCCGTCCCCACGGGCACCCTCAGGAAGAGCCGCCGGTGCTCCCCCCAGGCTGGCTGGGCTCGGGGAAGGCCCGCGGGGCTCGGGGAAGGCCCCCGGGGCTCGGGGAAGGCCCGCGGGCCCGCTGTGACCGCGGCGCTGTGGCAGGGAGCAGGCCCGGCTGAAGGGCAGCGTGGTGCAGGAGGACACCGAGGAGTGGCAGAAGGATCCCCGTTTCACCGGGCTGCACAGAGTGGGAGGTGTGGATTTATCCTACATCAAGGGCGACGAGAGCCGTGCCTGCGCCTCCCTGGTCGTGCTCAGCTACCCGGGGCTCGAGGTACGGCGGGGCACGGCAGCCGTAGATGGGAGAGAGGGAAGGAATTGTTCCTGTGACGGTGGTGGGGCCCTGGCAGAGTCACCCAGGGCAGCTGGGGCTGCCCCTGATCCCTGCACGTGTCCAAGGCTGGACACTGGGGCTTGGAACAACCTGGGATAGTGGGAGCTGTCCCTGCCATGGAATGGGATGGGCTTTAAACTCAGTGCTGACCAAACCATTCCGTGATTTCTGTGTGTGTTCCCAAAAGAGATAAACAGGAAAAAATACCTGTAAGGATTTAGGCAGAAGTTTAGGAAGGTGTGATGCAAACAGCTCCCCATTGCAGGAGTTTTGTGGGGTGGCTGGGAACTCAGCCGGGGGCCAGAGAAGCTGCAGTGCCTGTTGTGGGAGCTGCTGTGGGCAGAGGGAGGTGTTGGCCGTGCTCCAGGGCAGTCCTGTGTGTGAGCTCTCGCTGGGATATCAGCAAAGAATCAGCTGATAACATGGGCTGTGACACAGGAGAGCTTTTCCAAACCCGCCATGGATCTCGCATTTCACAGTCATTTTGCTTGAACTAATAAAGATTTTTGGTCTCTTTCCCAGCTTTCAAAATGATACAAAAGAATTGTCTTTAACTGTAAAACCTCTAACAAGCAGAGAAATAAAGTTTGATGCTGTCTGCTGGGATTTTAATGAGCCAAATCTCAAGTCCTGCTGTGATCTGCAGGCCAAAGCAGAATCACTGTTTGGTGCTGCCTTACTCCGTTTCCTTTGCCCTGTGCCTGGCTTTCAAAGGGATGAGCAGAGGGCAGGAGGCAGAGGAGGAGGCTCTGGAGCATCCAGGGGCTCTGGCAGCATTGTGGGTCCTGTCTGCCTGCCCCAGGTGCTGTACCAGGATTGCCGCATGGTGCCCGTCACTGCCCCGTACGTGGCCGGGTTCCTGGCCTTCCGAGAGGTCCCTGTCCTGGTGGAAGCTGTCCAGAGACTTCAGCAGGAGGAGCCCCAGCTCCAGCCTCAGGTGTGGTGTGTTTTCCTTGTCCTGAGCTGGGATGTCCTGGCTGCAGAATCCTGGGAAAGGTGTTCTCCCTCTGGAGCCAGAGCTGGTGGGGTGGGAGGGGCACGGTCAGAGCTGTGCTGGAGCATCCATTCCCTTTCCTTAGGGAGCAGGGATGTGGAGCTGGGAGCAGCCAGGCTCCCGTGGTGTGAGCAGGGCACTGCCAGTCCCACACTGCTCTAGGGTCAGGCACAGGCAGGAAGAGCCTTACGGGGAGAATTGAGGGACCAGGAGAGATTTCTCCTTCCCCCAGAGCCAGCATCCCTGCTTGCTCCTTGGAGTGCTCTCAGTGCCCAGGAGATAACTTTGGCTTTGGCTTTTTCAGGTGCTTCTGGTAGATGGGAACGGTCTGCTCCATCCCAGAGGTAGGCTGTTCCTGGAGAGCTCTGCTCTGCTGCTTGCTGTGCTGCTCCTTGGCCTTGCTGTTTCCTGGTGTCCTGCAGCTACAGTGGCTCCTTGTTGGCAGGATTTGGCACAGCCTGTCACCTCGGAGTCCTGACAGACCTGCCGTGCATTGGTGTGGCCAAGAACCTCCTGCAGGTGGATGGCTTGGTCAGGGACGAGCTGCACAGGGAGCAGGTTAGGCCAGGCTGGGATTTGTCTCTGTTTTTTAATGTCCCAAGGGAATTTGGACAGCCACATGCAATTGTGTGCTCAGGAGCTGATTTTGTGTGTGTTCATTCCTAGGTTCGTTCCCTGCAGAGGTCAGGAGAGACATTCCCACTGACAGGCACCTCAGGGAAGGTCCTGGGCATGGTAAGCTGTCACCTGGCCACTCGTCCCTCTCCACAGCAGGGCTGTGTCCTGTGCAGGAGGGCAGGTGTGAGCAGGTGACCAGTGACACTGCTGGCCCCTCCTGAGAGCTCAGGTGGTTGTAGGGAGTTGGCAACTCAAGTGCTGGGAGCGTTCACATCCATGGCTGTGGCACCTGAGGTGCTCCAGCAGCCTGGGCTGTGAGCTGCAGTCTGGGAGAGGTGCCAGTTCCCTGGCAGCTTCCTGGGATCAGTCTGGGAGCGTCTGCTTCAGAGCAGAGCAGGAACAGGCAGCTGTGAGACACCTCCTGTGGGTGCTGCCAGCCGGGGCTGGCACAGCTCCCTGCATCCCAGAGCAGCTCAGGCGTTCGGGGAAGGGCCACGGGGGACAGGCAGTGCCTGGAGGAGACTCTGGGGTGGAGAAGATGTTAAAGAGGGCTGGGAGCTGCAAACACAGAGCCACCACCCCACCCGAGGGGTCTGGCTGGCTCCTAATTCCACTGCCCCTCCTTGGCTGTGTTCAAACGAGCATCTTCAGTGCCTGATCTCTCCTTTCTGGCTGCCCAGGCGCTGCGGAGCTACAACAACAGCTCCAAGCCGGTGTACGTGTCCGTGGGGCACCGCGTGAGCCTGGGCACGGCCGTGCGCCTCGTCAGGGCCTGCTGCCGCTTCCGCGTCCCGGAGCCCATCCGCCAGGTACGGCGCTTCCGCGGGGGGCGGCCGGGGCAGGGGCCAGGCAGCGGCGTTTGCCGAGCCCTGGGCTGTTCCAGAGCCTCAGTTTGCCCTCCTGTGCTGTGGACAGGCTCCTGCTGGGCCGTTCCCCCAGCCCTTGGTGCTGCTCACCCATCCTTCCAGGCCCCTTCTCCTGCCGCAGTCATTCCCAGCCCTGCCTGCACAGCCAGCCTGCCCCATTCCCTGCTGCCTCTCTGCAGGCTCTCCTGCGGTGCTGGTGCCAATCCCCAGGAGCTGGGAATGCAGTTTTCCCGGGTGCTTGGAAGCTGGCACAGCCCGCAGTGCTGCTCCTCTGGGCCTTTCTGCCCGGAGCCAGCAGGTGACAGCACTGCATCACTGCCACCGAGCTGCAGCTGCCACCGAGGCTCAGCCCTGGCTGATCTTAAATCTCAGCAGAACTTGGGGAAAGGCTCTGGAGATGCTCAAAGCCTCTGGGGCTTCTGGCCTGGCAAGTGCTTCCCTTCTCCCCGAGATCACTCTACCGTTGGTGGCACCACAGCTCAGAGCCAGGGGTGACTCCAGGTGTCCTGCCCGGGTGTCCCTGTCCCTAACTCTGCCCTGGGACAGCCCATTGGCATCGCTGCTGTGCCAGGTGGGGTCAGGGGTGTGCCTCCAGTCTGTGTGTCTCCAGTGCTGGGAGACCCCACTGGGCACTGCTCCAATGTCCCCTGGAACCAAGACTCGTAATCTACCCCAAAATCAGAACTCCCTGCAGCAAAACAAGCCTTGGGGTGTCCATAGCAGAGCTGCAGTTCCCAGGCTCAGCCCCAGTACCTGCCAGACTGGAGGAGCTCCTTATGTAACCTGCTCCAGCCAGGGACAGATGCCTCTGCAGAGCTCCGAGCCAGCTCTGCAGCTCTGCGTGTTCAAAGGAAGGGAGAAGCATTCCCTTTGGAAACAAAAAGGTGTCTTGGAGCTTTTTGTCACCCTCATTCCGCTTCCAGCCATCTCCAGGATCTGCTCATGTTCAGAGACTCTTCCAGTTCCCTGTGACCTTTTTCTTAGAGTGATGGAATGAATTATTATCACTTTTCTTACAGAGAGATGAGAAGTCCATCAGGGAGTGAGTGTTTACTCTAGAGGGATGGCAGGGGATGAGGACACTTAAACCTTTCCAAGGGACTTGTCCCTGCTGTGCTTCCTCTGTGTGGTGACTGCCACAGCTCTTGGCACAGGCAGAGCTGACAGCCTCAGCTCTTGAGCACCTGCAGCTGGAGTTAGGAGGCTCTGGAGAATCCTGCCATGGGTGGCTGACGTGGCCTTTTTTGCCATGGTATGTCTCCAGAAATTGCAGACCTGACAGGAGAAGTGCTTATAGGTTTCCCAGTGTCAGGAAAGACCTGTGGATCATCAGGGCCTGGTCTGGAAGTTCTGGCAGCCCAGGGAATGAAATGAGAGCTCAGCTGCCCACAGCCCCTGAGGTTTGTGAGGGCAGTGTGTGCAGTGCAGCTGCTGTGGGAGCTTTAGGGGATTTGGAATTCCCAGGAATGCAGCATTATCCAGGCAGGGATCTGGGGAGGTCCCATCTGCATTCAGCCCACAGTGTGGTTGTGCTGGGAGCTCCTGTGTGCAGATGAGAGAACTGAGATCTCTCAGAAGAAGCAGAGGGATGAACTCCCCTTGCCACCTGCAGTCAGCATTGACATCCCGCTCAGTCCCTGTGGCAGGCCGAGCCAGGAGAGCTGTGCTTGCTGCTGAGGTCCTGCCAGGGCTGCTCCTCAGAGCTCCCAGGCAGGAGCTGAGGAAGGCAGGAGCTGCCATCTCAGAATAATCAGCACAGCACTCACCCTGAGTGGCCCCAGAACAGTCCCAAGCCCTGCTGAGAGAGCTGCCCTTGCCTCCTGCCACAGGTCAGCCCATCCCTGGTGCGTGCCCACACTCCAGGCCTGCTCCTTCCCGGGATCCCTGGGCACAGCAGGGAAGCTGCTGCCACCCTCCAGCTGCCAGGGATGGCACCAGGGCCTGCTCTGCTCTGCTCTGGCTGGGTTGAGTTCCTGCTTGGCTGCTCACCAACCTCCTGCTCACTTGGTGCTTCCCTCAGCTGCTGGGACAGCCCACCAGGAAGGGCTGGCCTGCAGGTCACCCTCTGTGAAACACCAAACACTCGCCCTCAGAAGAATGAGAGGCATCAGCCTCTCCTCTGGGACTGGCATCAGTCCTGGTGTCCTGAGGTGTCCTGAGGTGTCCTGAGGTGTCCTGAGGTGTCCTGAGGCTCCAGCTCCCTCTGGGTGCACCCTGTCCAAGCTTGCTGTGCACAGGGATCACCCTGGCCCCTCAGGTAATGGGCCAAGCAACATTTCCACAGCCAGCACTCGTCCCCTCTGAAAATAGCCCAAATCTGTGAGGATTATTGCAGGGCAGTGATCCATCTTATTGATTAGCCCGTGGTTAATCACCACCTTAAGCTGACTCCAGTGCTGTGTTAGGAGCGAGCCCTGCCTGGGAACTGCCACCTCATCAAGCGTTAGCTGATGTTCTCAGCAGAACGTGGTTGGGCTTTTTCTTCCCTAGGAAAATAGTTGGTAGCTGTGCCTCCTGCTCCTTGCTCTCCCCGTGGGGACTATTGAGCAGCCTCCTTCCCTGCTTATAAAATCCATCACGTAATCGCTTATCCTGAAGAGTGATCAAAGTTATTTGTCAGTTCGGTTATGAAACTGTCCAATTATAGAGAGAAGGGAAAAAAATCTCCTAAACAAACCACCCCTTATGTAACTCTCTCCTTCTCAGCTGGCAGGAGGCTCTGCAGTTGTGGAGCAGGTTCCAGCAGCAGGCACAGCCTGCAGCCAGGGCTCGGGGTGAGGGCCTGGGGGCTCCAGGCCTGCGGGAGAGGCTCCTCGGGAGCAGCACAGGGTGGAGAGCAGCAAATGCTTCAAGGACAGTCCCCGGGGATGTGTTAACCCAATTTCTGAGCTCCTCACCAGACACTCTGAAGCTTTTCCAGCTGGGAAGGTCACATCCTGCTTTGTAAGTGGGGAGAGACTCAGCCTTTGAGGTGGGCACAGCAGCTGCTCGGAAATGGCACGGCAGCGCGTTTGGGAAAGAAGTTTCTAAAAGAGATAAAACTTTGAAGGACTGTAAAAATCAACTGCCAGTCATCAAAGTTGTCCAAGAGCCCAGGATGTGCTTGTGATGGCATCAAGGGTTTGCTGCTGGTGTCGTGCAGCACTGGAGGGCTGAGCAAACACCCCAGGGTGGGGGCAAGAACACCCAGACAATGCCCAGCAACGCTTCCTGGCAGTTCCTGGGCTGTGCTTGGTGCTCTCCTTGCCCCAGGCTGCCGTGCCTGGCTGGGGTTCCAGGGTTGTGCTGACAGCAGGGTGGATGGGGCACTCTGGGGTAACAGAGGAGGCACCAGCCAGGCTGCTCAGCCCATGCTTGTCCTTTTCCTCCCTGGTTCCAGGCTGACATTAGGTCCAGGGAGTACCTTCGGAAGCTGCCCTGTGCTCCACAGGACGTGCTGGAGCCTGCCAGCCCAGAGAGGTGGGTGTGGGGGCAAAGGGGGATCTGCTGGTGGCATGAGCTGCAGTAATGGCATTAAAGGTACAGGCAGGGTAAGCAGGTGAGCTCAGTGAGGAGCTCAGGACATGTGCTGCCTGCAGAAGGTGATTCCTGCTCCGTGTGGCCACGCTGCCTCACACGTTGTTTCCCACAGCGCCGTGTCCTGAGCTGGGGAAGGGCAGCAGGGATTTGGTCTTTTTTCAGCACTGGTCATAAGCAAAGCCCTAAAGCCCACAGGTGTGACCTGAGGGTGAACAGAAATACCTGCAGGGAGCTGGTTTTGGCCCCCAGGTCGTGGGGAGGGTCAGAGTCCCCCACTCTTACATAAGGTGGGTTAGTGGGTGTCAGTTCAGGAGTAAATCTGTGGCAGGTCCCCTGAGCTGCAGGAGCTCAAGCTCACCAAGTGCCAGTTGTTTGTGCCTGTTGGCTTCTCCTTTTTTTTTAAAACTACTTTCTCATTTTTGTTCCCAGCAGCAAAAAGGAGGCTGAATTGGAGGATTAGTCTGGTGCCAGAAGAAAGTGCAGAGCTGCTCTTCGCTGGGCCCTCTCCTGCACCAAAGCTGAGTGCTGCTGGGTGCAGGAGCCCAGTGCCACCCTGAGGGACAGCTGTGCCAGGCTGTGTCCCACAGGACAGCACCAGCCACTGCTCGGGGGGAATCCTTGCAGTGAATTTCTCAGGGTTCATTTTCAAGTCCTGTTAAAGTCCTTGTGCAAGCAGAGGCTCACCTGTAAGTTTGCAGCACCTGGCTGGAGTCCTTGGGCTGCTGCAGGGGGTGATTTAGAGATGCTGAGGTGTTCCCACTGCAGAGCCAGCCTGTGTCTCCCACCACACCTCTGGAACTGAGCCCCTGTCCCTGCAGCCTGGGCTCTCCCATTCTCTGCACATTCCTGGGGAGCAGCAGCCCTGTTCCAGCTCCAGCAGCCCTGTTCCAGCTCCAGCAGCCCTGTTCCAGCTCCAGCAGCCCTGTTCCAGCTCCAGCAGCCCTGTTCCAGCTCCAGCAGCCCTGCTGCCCAGCTCTTCCCGAAGGAAGGATCTCGGGGGAAAGGATAGCAGAAACCATCTCCCTCCGGGAGGATGGGGAGGTCATTCCTGGCACACAGAGCACTCCAGGTGCCCAGATCCCAGGCTGGAGTTCTGGCCCAGCCCCAGCTCAGCCTGAGGAGCAGAGCCCAGAGCTTCTGTGGCCAAATCATCCTCGATCCTCATCACCAAAGCTTCTCCCAAGGTGTGGGATCCTGGCTGTTCCTGAAGAGCAGCAGGAGCAGAAGGTGCTCTGGGAGATCTTGGTGTGGCTGTGTAAGATTCCAGCCTGAAGAAGAAGAAGGATGATTTCCTGGGGGTGGGGAGGGGTGCTCAGGTCAAGCTCCTGTGGGCTTTTTTAACCTCAATTTTGCATAAATTCATTGTACAACTTCTGTTCTTTTCTCTGTCCAGCCTGTTGTGCCTGTGCTGTGTTGGAGTCTGAGCTGTCCCTCCTGAAACAGGGTGGGAAAAGGGAGGAAGTGACAAACGCTGCTGCCCTGGGCCCAGCTGGGCAGATCTGGGGCTGGTCCTGTGCTGGAGAGGGGCACAGGCACTGACAGGGCACTTCCCTAAGAAGCCTTTGCTGACAGGTGTTGAAAGGCAAAGCGGGAGCTGCCAGGCCCCGTGCAGGAGCCGCCTCTCCAGGGAGCCTCGGAGCTGTTTCACACCAGGCTCTGTCCGTGGGTGGACAGAGACTGCCAAGGGAAATCCACAGTGGAAGCTGCTCCTTGGTCCTGGGGCTGTGGGGCCAGGGGGAGCGTTGGGCTCGTGCCTGGGCTGTGCCACAGACAGGGGTGGGTGTCTGGGTTCTATCTCAGGTTTCATGTCTGGGCTTTCATCCCTGATCTCTTGGCGATTTTTTTTGTACTTCTGGTTGGTATTTGACAATGAGAGATGTGGGGTGGGCACAGGGCAGGCTCTGCAGCCAGAGCTGTGATTTGGGTAGGAAGCTGGAGCCCAGCTCTGACAGGGAGTGAGGCTGTGGCTGTTGAGGGTCTGTCACTGGGTGTTCCTGCTGGCATCTGGGTGTTCTGATCCATGGAGTGTGCCCAGCCTGGGGGGGATCCAGGGCTGTCCTCGGCTGGCCTGAGCTCCCCCAGCTGCCTCTGCCGTGGGGTGAGGGAAAATCAGGTAAAAAATCAAAACAACAGCACAAAAAATAGCTCTGCATCACTGCCCCAGCTTCCCTCTGCGTGAGGCTCTGAACTCTCCTTCCCAGCCCAGGTAAACTCGGATGACTCTGGATGAAGTCACCTGAGGAGCTTGAGGAGGAGGAGGAGGATGGTGCTGCAGTGTCTGTGCAGCCCTGCTGGAGCTGGGGCTCTGTGCTCCTGCCTTTGGGCTTTGCCTGTGCCGAGGGATGCTCCCAAACGAGGGTGCTTAAAGGAAGGGACTAATCTCTGTGTTTGGTGTCTGCTTGTGGCTTTTGGACACAATAAGGGATTAACTTGGTCTTTATCTAATTGGTTTATAACCCTGGGAAGGGAAAATCGCTTTGTAGTGCTTGAAACCTCTTAGCAGAAACTCAGAGACTGGAGCTTGAGTGTCCTTTGAAATAAACTCATACATGGCTTGTGTTTTTTAACTCTCTGTTTGCTTTTTGGGTGTAAAGTTGTTGGGAATCAGAGGAAGACAGTTCTTGCCAACTGGTTGTAAATCCTCCTGTTATCACCGGGGGGTTTTGTGGTCACAGTTTCCATCTGGGATTGGTTGGGAGTCTGGAGGTGTCTCAGGGCTTGGTCACCCCCAGTGCTGCTGGGGAATGAGCAGGGATGGGGCTGCCCAGTGACAGCTCCTGGGTGACAAACTGGGGCAGAATTGGTTTGGGGTTGGGTTTCCTGACTCCCAGGCACTGAATGGTTCTGCTGCAGACTCTGGATCTGCTCCCTGTGTTTTATTTGGACACCTGGAGATCAGGAGAGGATCCCTGCACCCACCTTGTTGGTCTGGGGTTCCGGGAGAAGGGAGAGGAGATGCTTTAGGACGCAAATCTGTTTGTTCTGGGAGTTCTGAGGAAGCCTGGGTGGGATGAGTTCCATCACAGGTGTCTGAAGCTGGATGGGATGAGTTCCCACCTCCGTGTCTGCAGCTCGTGGCAGTGTAGGTGCTGCCTGTGCAGCTCAAGCTCCAGTGACTCAGGGTTTGTATTTCAGGACGAGGCTGGGGGAAGTGTTTTATTGGGATTCCCCCCACCCTGCCCCCAGTTCTCATTCCTCTTCCCTTTGGTTTGGTTGGGTGTGTTTAGGAGGGGCTGTTTCCCTCCTGAATCCCCAAGCCAGGTCCAGCTGCAGGTCTGAGCCCTGGGCTGGGGGCTCCCACTGTGTGTGGAGCTGGGCCCAGGCAGCTGAGCCCCCATTCCCGGGGTATTGGGCGTTGTGGGGCTGGCTGGGGCAGCTGTGGCCCTTGGATCTCGGAGCATTCCCCAGCTCTGGCTCTAAATGGGCATTTTGGGCATCTAATGGACATAATGGGCATTTTTAGTGTTGGTCCCTCCTGTGGCAGCTGAGGCCTCTTGGCTGTGGTGGCTCCTGGACAGAGCCCGGGCGTGCAGAGGGAGCTGAGGAGCACCATGGCTCCCTTGCAGCCCTTTTTTGTTCTTTTTTTTTGTCCTTTTTATTTTATTTTCCCTTCCCTTTTGTCCTATAAATAGTTCTCCACCCCACCTGCTCTTCCCGTTCTTGGTGGTGGTTGATCCTCTCTGATCCTCTCACCAGAGCCCCGCCAGCTCCCCCCGACTTTATTTTAAGGCCCCCATTAATTAAAAGCAAATGAGTGGAATTTCTCTCGACAAGCAAATTAATAGCAAATGAGATGATAATGAGCTGTGTCATTAGGGCGATGGAGCAGCTTGTGCAGGGCTCAGCCCAAATCAAAGCAGCAAATCCGTGGAGCAGCAGATCTCTCCTGTTGGGGGGCTGGGTCCCCCCGAGGAGGGGGACGTGGAAGGTGCTCCCTTCCCCTCCTGGGTGGAATTTTGGTAGCCAAGGGGCGATCGCTGCCGAGCAGAGCAGAGGTGCCGGGGGTGGCTGGGCATGAGCTGGGCTTCTCCGTGGGGACACGCTGGGGCTGCCTCGTGCCCATCCTGGCAGCCCGAGCAGCTTCAAAAACACAAACCGAGGCTGTGAAAGCAGCCCGTGATTAATTCCTGGGTTGGTTCCCACCTCGGGGGCTCGATGCAGGATGTTTCCTTAGGAACACGCTTTTTCCTGCTTTTCTTGGCCGGGCTGCTTGGCTCGCTGTGCCGCTGCCTGCAGAGCCCAGCTGGTCACTCCGGGAGCTGCGGGGTTTGGTGGCGGTGCCGGAGCGCTCGGGAGAGCCCCGAGCCGGGGCGTGGGAGGCTCTGCCGGCGGCTGCCGTGTTGTGACTGGAGCCGGGCTCTGGCGAGGAACAGCCCGGGAGGAGGAGGAGGAGGAGGAGGAGGAGGAGATCGACAGGGCCAGGGCTGCAGGGAGAGCCTGCGGGAAGGAGAGGTGGTGCCCGGAGCCAGCTCTGCCCTTGTGCCGTCCCGGGAGGGACAAACGTCCCCCTTTTTCCCGAGGAGCAGCGGTGCCTGCTGGTAAAATATCCAGCGATTCTTGGGAGAGCCTTTGGAGTCTGTGAGAAATCTGGTGCCTTCGTAACTTGCTGCAGGGATGGTGGGCAGCACCGTCATTAAAGCGCTCTGATTAACACACAAACCTTGTTTGTAATGAGTGGGATTGGGAGGGTGTGGAAATCCAGCTGGCGTGTAATGAGGTTACTCCAGCAAATTACTCGGATATCAATTACTCTGCTAGGTAAATGTCACCTGCCTTCTCTTTGTTTGCGGTAAACTGGGATCCAATTAATGTGATGCGCTTCGTGCTCGTGCCTGAGCTGCTGCGGCCCCGAGGCTCTGCCCCAGCCGTGGGGCACCAGCGGGGCCAGAGCCACCCCGGCCCTTTGGGGACAGCATCCCAGTCCCCCTCCACAGCCTGAAGCCCTCCGGCCAGGTCTGTGCGGTCCCCGCGGCCGCCCGGAGCCCCCTCATGCCTCCGAGTGCGGGCGGATAAATTCCATTTTGCTGGAAATGGGCTCCTTTCCCCCGCCGCTGCTCCCCATCCTCCGGGCCGGGATCTGCCGGAGTGCGCCGGGAGCCAGGGGAGGGAGCTGCAGCAGGAGCGTGCCCGGGACCCTGCCCCTGATCCAGCCCTTGGGAAGAGCCCTGGATGCTTCCACAGGGCTCATGAATATTAATGCACCAACATTTGGGGGCCTGGGGAGGGAGCAGAAGGGAGCCGAAAGCGTTGCCAATCGTGGAGCGCAGCCCATCCCAAATCCACGGTGAAACTGGGCACGTGGAGGCTTTGGGGGGCTGGAGAGGAAAGGCTGCTGTGAGCAGGGGCTGGGCACCATCACTGGGGACACCCGGCGTCCTGCTCCGCTTTCCAGAAGGAATAAGTCAGCCCCGCGGTGTCCCTGTGGGGTTTTCTACCCCCATCAGGTGTTGGGGGGCAGATCCCACGTGTGGGATGCGGTCGTTCCTCAGCTTCCAAAGGAGCAGCCCGCGGGAGCCCTGAGTCCCTGCTCATCCCTCCGGCCAGGAGGGGATTTGGAGGCTGCTCCAGACCTCTCCATCGCTCCTTCCCTCGCTGCCGGCCGGCCCGGGGGTGGCCGCAGGTTTGGGGCTGCCCCGGAGGCTCGGCAGGATGAGCGAGGTTCCAAAGTGCCGCAGGCGATCGCTGACCCAGTTCCCAGCAGCGCTCTGGGGTTTGGCGGCTGTTGCTGACAGGGAGGGAAGTGGGGGCCTGGGGACCCCAAGATGTGCTGCCCCCGGTCCTGGGCAGCGCTGGGGACCCTGGGGGTGCCTGGGCAGCACAGGGTGGGCTCTGACCCCACTCCTCCCCGTGTGCCCCCTCCTGTGCCCGCTCT